TTTAATCTTGTTTAGTAGTAAGATAGAAGTAATCTTAATTATTAAACAAAAAAGTTGCTACATTGTTTATAGGGTGAAGTATATAAGACATTTGACTCTCGAAAATGATGTTTCAAGAAATTGGAACATAACAAATCAGCTAAAGGTAAGTCATATTCTGATCCCAAGTACTATAACAACAATGATTCTATGCTGTTTGACGTCAAAGTAGTTCTGAAAATAATACTTCACAAAATAAAGACTTTCTATTCTACCAAATAATGAAAATAATAATCCTTAAATTAAGAAAACTTTTCATCTTAATTGAGGAATTAAAGTTATCAATATAGGTTTTTAAAGTTTTTCTAAATAGTTTATGTATTAAATTTAATTATATATTTTTTGAATTTTTTTAGATGATTCATGTATTAAATTTAAATGTCTTTTAAATTTTATAAATATTTCGTGTTTTAAACTTAATTATAGTTTACGAATTAGACTCAATTATATTATACATTTAGAATTTTAAGAGTTATATTAATGTTTTGGAATACCCATATACTTGCAGAGTTTTTCGCAACAACCATAAAATTAAAATCTGAATCTTTCTATATTAGTCTCATTCTTCTCATTTCTCACAAGTTCTAGTTAGCTTCATAAGACGTAGAATTATTCAACATAAAAATATAACATTTAACGTTTCCGCAGGATGTGTTATGAGCGATCCAAGGTCAAAAACATTATCAAACATTTCTTCGGAGACAGAAAAAGAATAACGGATGCGTATAATATATGTCGAAAGAAGTCGAAACATTGTTCGTCAACTAGGTTCAACCAATGTCACTGCGTTGCGTCTTCTTTTATTTTCATCAACTGAGTTAAATATATTTGTAAGCTCCGGATTAAGCTAGAAGTGAGCTTGTATATAGTTGACTATTGATATCAGTTCCAGTTTGTGCCTGAAGGTCTATCTATTAATATAAGGCCTCTACCAGGTATCCTTTTTTTCTTTTTTGCCTTTTTGTATGTGTGTGTGTGTGTATATATATACTGTACACTATGGTAGAAGGAAGAGTAAGAAAGCAATCAATGAAATTGCAATATCTGATTTTTAACTTATTCTTCTGTAAATATAATTTAGAGGATAGATAGATCTAGCATGCCTGTAAACTAGGAGAAATTAAAGTAAGTTCAGCAAGCATGTAAATTCATATTAGCCATTGCCTTCATCAATTGAAATCAATATATATATATATATATATATGTGCAACTATACTCAGAATTGATACGTGTCAATTTCTCTTTTTTTTTTAAATAATTTTATATTTAATATAATATATATATATATATATTAACTATTATCTATGTATCTTTATAATATAAAAATAATTTTAAATATATTAAAATAAAACTAACACAATAATATAACTAATATTTATTTATTTATTTATTTGTAATAATTAACTTGACTTGATAATCAACTGTTATGTGTTTAACTATTTTAAATATAAAAATAAATTGTGAGTTTATATGATTTATTTTTAATTAGTTATAAACTCTTAAATTATACATTATATAAATTATTTGTTACCTAATTTTTTTCTTACACCTTATCATTATACCTAAAAATTAAAGTATACTAATTTTTTTGTATTTTTATTACAAGTTTATCTAGTTATGTATAGTTTTTGTTCACATAAAATAATTATTTATATTAAGTTTTATATCACTGCAAAAATTATATTTTTTGGGAAGAATCTAGCTTTTTTTACAAAATATACGTCTGATCTGCAGGCAAACAAACTCTTCTTATTGCTAAGAGAAAACCTAAACAGACGTTTTTTTTTTAAGTAAATACACAAATTCGTTTCCTCCCTATATTCTTCTTCTTCTTCCATTGCCACCTCTTTCTCTGCAGAGTTCTTTTTATTAAAGTAACTTATTATCTTGGAATTAGTCAATTAGTTGGATGTTAGTATTAAGTTAGTGTATTAGTAGGCATTGTGTGCTTTTCATAAATTTCTTGCAATGTTCTCCATTTTCTTGGTGGTGATTCTGATGAAGAACTTGGAGATGAATGAGGGCTGCCTTCATTTTGATCTCCTTAATTTGTTTGGGTGCCAACAGATATGACAGTTAGATAGTTAATTTATGTTCAGCTTCTGTTATTCTATTATTCTATTTTCTGTTAAAGTAGTTAGTCAATTAACATGTTGTTAAATTTGTAAGAAGCATCTATATAAATAACATACAGATGCAATTTTGTTCAATCGATCAATTCTTTTGTAACAAAAGGAGAAGTCTTTATCCCTCCTTTAGAATAATAACCGAAAAAAGTTCTTTCATGTTTTTGCTCTCTGTTTACACTTCTATTTCTTCCAATATTTGTTCATGGTATCAGAGCAGATTTAGAAAATAAATCAGACACAAACAAATATTCCTACAACTGCGAGAAATTTGACGATGAATTAATTGAATGAAAATTCAGGAATTTCACTTGCATCAGTTCCATTCAATGGGACAAATTATCAAACTTGGAGCAAATCTGTAAAATTTACACTAGCAGCAAAACATAAATTAGGATTCATGACTGGAAAAGTGAGAATACCGGCCGAAGAGTTAGTAGAATATGAATACTCGTTCGCAAATAACGTGATCTTAAACTCTCTTTCGAAAGAATTTCATGATTCATTCTTATACGTCAATTCTACACAAGAACTGTGGGATAAGCTAGAGAGAAGATTCAATGAATCAAATGAGCCTCAAGAATACAAAGTCAAGAGAGAATTGGGATTTAGAGCTCAAGGAAATGACTCTCTCGTAATATATTTCACCAACATATGCCGATTGTGGGATGAACTGAACAACTTAATTCCAACTGCACAGTGCACATGTGGAAAACGCACCTGTGGAATCTTAGAGCATATATTAAAGCTAAATGAGAGCTTAAAGATAGTAGTTTCTCATAGGCCTCAATGACACATACGACCAAACAAAAAAATTAGATACTACTACTTGACCCTCTACCACACATCGACAAAGTATACTCAATAGTGATGAACATAGAGCGACAGCGACAAGTGACAAGCATCTTTGCTGAAGGAATAGACGTAACAGCTCTAATAACATCTTCCAATATACAAAGATACCTTGGTCCACGAAGAAATGGTTTCAAAAAGAAAGAACTGACAAATAAGGAAGACAAATTTTGTAACTACTGCAAAGAAAATGGACATTCAAAGGAGACGTGTTTTAAACTTCACGGCTACTCGGACTGGTATAAAGAGTTGAGGCAGAAAAAAAGAGGGCCTGCTGGATATAAAACAAGAGTGAATATGGCAGAAACTCCCTTCGACGATGAAGAAATAGGAAACAATTTTGAAAGACACGAAGAGAGTGAAATAAAAACATCCATGAGGGAGATGATCCAAGAAGAGGTATCAAAGGTGTTGAAGGGAAAAGTTGCAATAGATCATAATTTTGAGGGCTATACATATGAGTTCACAGGTACAATCCCTAATATAGCTCCAAAAGAAACATGCTGGATAATAGATACAAGTGCAAGCAATCATATTTATGCATAAAGTTCTTTATTCAATAAGTTGGATAAAATAAAAAAGCAAAATTCAGTTCACTTACCAAATAGCACAGTTTTAAAGGTAGAATACTTTGGTGACATAGTCTTGAAGAGCGATTTGAACCTAAAAGGAGTGCTATACATACCCTCATTTCACCACAATCTATTATCTGTCAGTAAATTAACCAAAAATAATGGTGTGATATTCACCTTTTTCCTTGATTTCTATTTATTACAAGACTGGACGACTAAGAAAACGATAGCTATTGGCAAGTCTTCTGGCAACCTGTACTGCCTTGAACCTTCCTCCTTCCAGCCAGAAACCATAAAGAAATATGATGTTGATTTCTATAATCCCTGTACTCCTGTCCCAAATCCTCTATTAAAAGAAAATGGAATGATAAACAATGTAGTAGGAACTTCAGCCTCTTGGCACAAGAGACTAGGACATCTGTAACACCCAAGTATCATTATTTTTATTTGTATTATTTGAATTTTTTTTTATATTTTTATTTAATTTTAATTTTGAGATTTTATATTTAAATATTAATTCCATGGAAAATAAAAAATAATTAATATTGGATAAAAATGGGGTAAAAAAAATTTATTTGGAAATTAATTTGAGAATTTGAGATTTGGGAAAAAAGAAGTGTGAAAATTTTAAGATTTCTCAAAAGGTTTGTTTTTGAAAAAGA